TGCCCATAGACTCAACACTACCCATAGACTCAACACTGCCCATAGACTCAACACTGCCATATACTCAACACTGCCCATAGACTCAACACTACGCATAGACTCAACACTGCCCATAGACTCAACACTGCCCATAGACTCAACACTGCCCATAGACTCAACACTGCCCATGGACTCAACACTGCCAATAGACTCAACACTACCCATAGACTCGACACTACCCATAGACTCTACACTGCCCATAGACTCAACACTGTCCACAGACTCAACACTACCCATAGACTCGACACTACCCATAGACTCAACACTACCCATAGCCTCAACACTGCCCATAGACTCAACACTACCCGTAGACTCAACACTGCCCATTGACTCAACACTGCCCATAGACTCAACACTGCCCATAGACTCAACACTACCCATAGACTCAACACTGCCCATAGACTCAACACTGCCCATATACTCAACACTGCCCATAGACTCAACACTACGCATAGACTCAACACTGCCCATAGACTCAACACTGCCCATAGACTAACACTGCCCATAGACTCAACACTGCCCATAGACTCAACACTGCCCATAGACTCAACACTGCCCATAGACTCAACACTGACCATAGACTCAACACTGCCCATAGACTCAACACTGCCCATATACTCAACACTGCCCATAGATTCAACACTACGCATAGACTAAACACTGCCCATAGACTCAACACTGCCCATAGACTCAACACTGCCCATAGACTCAACACTGCCCATAGACTCAACACTGCCCATATACTCAACACTGCCCAAAGACTCAACACTACGCATAGACTCAACACTGCCCATAGACTCAACACTGCCCATAGACTCAACACTGCCCATAGACTCAACACTGCCCATAGACTCAACACTGCCAATAGACTCAACACTACCCATAGACTCGACACTACCCATAGACTCAACACTGCCCATAGACTCAACACTGTCCATAGACTCAACACTACCCATAGACTCGACACTACCCATAGACTCAACACTGCCCATAGACTCAACACTGTCCATAGACTCAACACTACCCATAGACTCAACACTGCCCATAGACTCAACACTACCCATAGCCTCACACTACCCATAGACTCGACACTACCCATAGACTCAACACTGCCCATAGACTCAAGACTACCCATAGACTCAACACTGCCCATAGACTGAACAGTGCCCATAGACTCAACACTGCCCGTATACTCAAAACTACGCATAGACTCAACACTGCCCATAGACTCAACATTACCCGTAGACTCAACACTGCTCGTAGACTCAACACTGCCCATAGACTCAACACTGCCCATAGACTCAACACTGCCCATAGACTCAACACTGCCCATATACTCAACACTACGCATAGACTCAACACTGCCCATAGACTCAACACTGCCCATAGACTCAACACTGATCATAGACTCAACACTGCCCATAGACTCAACACTGCCCATAGACTCAACACTGCCCATAGACTCAACACTACCCGTAGACTCAACACTGCCCATTGACTCAACACTGCCCATAGACTCAACACTGCCCATAGACTCAACACTACCCATAGACTCAACACTGCCCATAGACTCAACACTGCCCATAGACTCAACACTGCCCATAGACTCAACACTACGCATAGACTCAACACTGCCCATAGACTCAACACTGCCCATAGACTAACACTGCCCATAGACTCAACACTGCCCATAGACTCAACACTGCCCATAGACTCAACACTGACCATAGACTCAACACTGGCCATATACTCAACACTGCCCATAGATTCAACACTACGCATAGACTAAACACTGCCCATAGACTCAACACTGCCCATAGACTCAACACTGCCCATAGACTCAACACTGCCCATATACTCAACACTGCCCATAGACTCAACACTACGCATAGACTCAACACTGCCATAGACTCAACACTACCCATAGACTCGACACTACCCATAGACTCAACACTGCCCATAGACTCAAGACTACCCATAGACTCAACACTGCCCATAGACTGAACAGTGCCCATAGACTCAACACTGCCCGTATACTCAAAACTACGCATAGACTCAACACTGCCCATAGACTCAACATTACCCGTAGACTCAACACTGCTCGTAGACTCAACACTGCCCATAGACTCAACACTACCCATAGACTCAACACTGCCCATAGACTCAACACTGCCCATAGACTCAACACTGCCCATAGACTCAACACTGCCCATATACTCAACACTACGCATAGACTCAACACTGCCCATAGACTCAACACTGCCCATAGACTCAACACTGATCATAGACTCAACACTGCCCATAGACTCAACACTGCCCATAGACTCAACACTGCCCATAGACTCAACACTACCCGTAGACTCAACACTGCCCATTGACTCAACACTGCCCATAGACTCAACACTGCCCATAGACTCAACACTACCCATAGACTCAACACTGCCCATAGACTCAACACTGCCCATATACTCAACACTGCCCATAGACTCAACACTACGCATAGACTCAACACTGCCCATAGACTCAACACTGCCCATAGACTAACACTGCCCATAGACTCAACACTGCCCATAGACTCAACACTGCCCATAGACTCAACACTGACCATAGACTCAACACTGGCCATATACTCAACACTGCCCATAGATTCAACACTACGCATAGACTAAACACTGCCCATAGACTCAACACTGCCCATAGACTCAACACTGCCCATAGACTCAACACTGCCCATATACTCAACACTGCCCATAGACTCAACACTACGCATAGACTCAACACTGCCATAGACTCAACACTACCCATAGACTCGACACTACCCATAGACTCAACACTGCCCATAGACTCAACACTGTCCATAGACTCAACACTACCCATAGACTCGACACTACGCATAGACTCAACACTGCCCATAGACTCAACACTGCCCATAGACTCAACACTGACCATAGACTCAACACTGCCCATAGACTCAACACTGCCCATAGACTCAACACTGCCCATAGACTCAACACTACCCGTAGACTCAACACTGCCCATTGACTCAACACTGCCCATAGACTCAACACTGCCCATAGACTCAACACTACCCATAGACTCAACACTGCCCATAGACTCAACACTGCCCATATACTCAACATTGCCCATAGACTCAACACTACGCATAGACTCAACACTGCCCATAGACTCAACACTGCCCATAGACTAACACTGCCCATAGACTCAACACTGCCCATAGACTCAACACTGCCCATAGACTCAACACTGACCATAGACTCAACACTGCCCATAGACTCAACACTGCCCATATACTCAACACTGCCCATAGATTCAACACTACGCATAGACTAAACACTGCCCATAGACTCAACACTGCCCATAGACTCAACACTGCCCATAGACTCAACACTGCCCATAGACTCAACACTGCCCATATACTCAACACTGCCCATAGACTCAACACTACGCATAGACTCAACACTGCCATAGACTCAACACTACCCATAGACTCGACACTACCCATAGACTCAACACTGCCCATAGACTCAACACTGTCCATAGACTCAACACTACCCATAGACTCGACACTACCCATAGACTCAACACTGCCCATAGACTCAACACTGTCCATAGACTCAACACTACCCATAGACTCAACACTGCCCATAGACTCAACACTACCCATAGCCTCAACACTACCCATAGACTCGACACTACCCATAAACTCAACACTGCCCATAGACTCAAGACTACCCATAGACTCAACACTGCCCATAGACTGAACAGTGCCCATAGACTCAACACTTCCCGTAGACTCAAAACTACCCATAGACTCAACAATGCCCATAGACTCAACATTACCCGTAGACTCAACACTGCCCGTAGACTCAACACTGCCCATAGACTCAACACTGCCCATAGACTCAACACTACGCATAGACTCAACACTACCCATAGACTCAACACTGCCCATAGACTCAACACTGCCCATAGACTCAACACTGCCCATAGACTCAACACTGACCATAGACTCAACACTGCCCATAGACTCCACACTGCCCACAGACTCAACACTACCCATAGACTCAACACTGCCCATAGACTCAACACTGCCCATAGACTCAACACTGCCCATAGACTCAACACTGCCCATAGACTCAACACTGCCCATAGACTCAACACTGCCCATAGACTCAACACTACCCATAGACTCAACACTGCCCATAGACTCAACACTGCCCATAGACTCAACACTGACCATAGACTCAACACTGACCATAGACTCAACACTTCCCATAGACTCAACACTGCCCATAGACTCAACACTGCCCATAGACTCAACACTACGCATAGACTCAGCACTGCCCATAGACTAACACTACCCATAGACTCAACACTGAGCATAGACTCAACACTGCCCATAGACTCAACACTGCCCATAGACTCAACACTGCCCATAGACTCAACACTGACCATAGACTCAACACTGCCCATAGACTCAACACTGCCCATAGACTCAACACTGCCCATAGACTCAACACTGCCCATAGACTCAACACTGCCCATAGACTAACACTACCCATAGACTCAACACTGAACATAGACTCAACACTGCCCATAGACTCAACACTGCCCATAGACTCAACACTGCCCATAGACTCAACATTGCCCATAGACTCAACACTACGCATAGACTCAACACTGTCCATAGACTCAACACTGCCCATTGACTCAACACTGCCCATAGACTCAACACTGCCCATAGACTCAACACTGCCCATAGACTCAACACTGCCCATAGACTCAACACTGCCCATAGACTCAACACTGCCCATAGACTCACTACTGACCATAGACTCAACACTGCCCATAGACTCAACACTGCCCATAGACTCAACACTGCCCATAGCCTAACAACACTGCCCATGGACTAACAGCACGATACGTGCGATGTTGCTCACCATCAAGCCTGGTGGACCGTGCATGCCAGGATTACCGTGAGGCCCACGCAGTCCCTTGGGAATGATAAACACAAACAAGCAGACAGTGACATCTCATTCACCCACAGCAAGAGGGTTTTGTTGTTGTTGATGATTACCATACGAATAACCCAACCAGTTAAAGATGTCCATTGTAATTTATGTGCATGCATTAACCCCCCCCCCCCCCGCCTCTGGCCTTCGCACCTGATTGGCTCACAAGTAATGACATCACAGTGATCTATTTATGACCGAAGCAGGAGGAGGACTTCTCCACAACTCTGTGGCAGTCGCCTGATGCTGCTGCTGCTGGTTGTTGCTGTTGTTGTTGTTGTCGCAATTACCAGTGAAACGTCACGGCTTCTCGAATTATAAATGTTGTCGTGGGTTTTACTCTCCAGCTCACAAACGGTGGGATGCTGCACGCGCAACGAATTGGCCACGTTCCGTTTACATGACACAACCTTGATAATTGGCTGTGTCGGGTGGTGGCTGGTTTAACGACACAACATTTATATTCACTCAATCTTACCCCAAAAACCTCTATTATGGAGAATATTGGTTGACGAAAGCAACCTCCTACTGCTACTTGTTAAACATATCTCATTCAGATTACAAGGCAGCCCTCCATCTCCCCTCATCTCAATTCACAGCTGATGTTTGTTGTTGAGCCACTATTCACGGAGCGTCAAGGTTTCTAGGAGATGTTGACTACCTCGCCTGGTATACAGGAGGTCGTGGGTTTCGATCCTGAGCCAGATGCCCGCTGTAAATTTGCAGTTTGCGGTGTCTCTCTCTCTCTCTCTCTCCCCGTGGTGGTCGCGTGGATTTTTCTCCCGGTCTTACGGGGTTCTCTCCCTTTTAGGACATTTAGAGAATCGACGTCACGCGTTCAGGAGTGTTTGGCTGCCGCTTGAAATTTCCACGACGGGCCGCTTTTGTTGAGCTGCCGTTTGTGACGGTGAGGTCGCTTCCAAAGACAAGAAAGCTACGTAGCTCAGTGGGGCCTTGCCCGGTAAAAAAAAAAATATATATATTTGTTGAATAGTGAAGTGGCCAAGTTTATGCCGCCAAGAGCTTCCACCCACCCAACCACCCGGCACGGCCAGACCGGAATGGTCATCGTTCCCGTGGCCCTAGCGAGCTGTGAGCAGACGGAGCTCTTCACGCGTCTGGCAAAAAAAACCGCCCCGCGTTGCTGGACGCAGTCACCGGCGAACACGTCTGGGCTACTCGAATTGTTAATGTTGTGGTGGGGTTAAACTCTCCGACGCGCCGGAGTAGTTACCAATTGGCACGTTTTGTGTACGCGACACAAAACCTCCCGGTCGTCTGTGTCGGGCGGTGATGGGGGGCTAACGATGCAGCAGTTAAGACTTGCGCAGTCGAGCACGGAGAAAACTTTACTACGTGAGCTGACGGTTCTCACGTTCACGCGTGGAAGCGGATATCACACAACCACCTCTGAGATCCCCTTCTTCTTCTTATTCAAGTGACGCTCTGGTGCGCACAGAACGGTCCGTGGAAGCGGATATCACAGAGCTTCTTCTTATTCAAGTGACGCTCAGGCGCACACAGAACGATGACCATCAACTCACTGCATTTGGGAGCCCTCTTGAGAGCCCAGTGGACAAGGGGGGAGGCGGGGGGGGTGGCCTGTATCTAGCAGGCGTGGCTCATGAGCGACCGCCGGCAACTTACGTTGGGTCCTCTCATTCCCTGCACTCCGCGTTGGCCAGCGGGCCCAGGCGGTCCCTGCACACAACCCCACATTCCGGCGTTAGAGCACGGGCAAAGGAGTGGGCCCGCGACCGCCCGCTCGCGCCGCTGCTGGTGGAGAGGGGGGCCCTCCGCTAGGGCGAGCGCTGGAGAGATAGAGACAGAGAGAGAGAAAAACAGAGGGAGAGAGACACAGAGAGAGAGCGACAGAGAGACAGAGAGAGAGAGAGACAGAGAGAGACGGAAAGAGAGAGAGAGAGACAGACAGAGAGACACAGCGACAGAGAGAGAGAGGGAGCGAGAGACAGCGAGAGAGAGAGAGACAGAGAGAGAGACAGAAAAACAGAGGGAGAGAGACACAGAGAGAGAGAGAGCGACAGAGAGACAGAGAGAGAGAGACAGAGAGAAACAGCGACACAGAGAGAGAGACAGCGAGAGACAGCGAGAGACAGCGAGAGAGAGACAGAGAGAGACTGTGGACTTTGGCTGACCGGTACGTCTTGGAAGAAGAGGAAGTATGTGTGTGAGTGTACGTTGAACTTCTTTCGCACCGTACGTAGCCAACCGCGTTAAGCGGAGGTCCGGGGGTGGGGGGGGGGGGGGAAGGACAAAACTAAACACAAGAAGCAGTTTTATACAGATGAGTTTGTCAATATAAACGACGATGATTTAAAAGTTGCATATCTTCCAGCGGCTTCCTAATATCGGAAGGGAAGAGCGTTCCAGACGGCTGCAGAAGCGCATCTGAAAGCGCCGCGCAACGGTGCGGTGACCGCCGCCTTTGTTCGACGGCCGAGCCGGAAGCCGCCACCGCCGCTGCGAGCGCGAGCGGAGTGTCGCGCGACCAGATCAGCCAAGGTATTGTGCTTCATTTGTGGCAAGGACTTCGTGTGTGAAATAACAACAACGATCTTCATTTGAAGCTCTCGTCACTGCAGGAATCCACACTCTTTGGTCCTTTCGTTAAAGTCACGTGGTAGGTAGAAAATAAAATAGAAATCACGACGTTTCGGGCGCAACACCAAGCGTCCGTCATCAGGTGGGAAAGCCCTGGCCTGCTGCTGAGGCAGACTGATTTAAAATGTTTGAAATGGGTGCGGCCCAAGGGTCACAAAGAAGTGGGCGGGGCTAGTGATGTTAATGTGAGAGATTAACATGATGTTAATGTGAGAGATTAGCGTGATGTTAGTGTGAGAGATTAGCGTGATGTTAATGTGAGAAATTAGCATGCTGTTAGTGTGAGAGATTAGCGTGATGTTAATGTGAGAGATTAGCGTGATGTTAATGTGAGAAATTAGCATGCTGTTAGTGTGAGAGATTAGCGTGATGTTAATGTGAGAAATTAGCATGATGTTAATGTGAGAGATTAGCATGATGTTAATGTGAGAGATTAGCGTGATGTTAATGTGAGAAATTAGCGTGATGTTAGTGTGAGAGATTAGCGTGATGTTAATGTGAAAGATTAGCGTGATGTTAATGTGAGAAATTAGCATGCTGTTAGTGTGAGAGATTAGCGTGATGTTAATGTGAGAGATTAGCGTGATGTTAATGTGAGAAATTAGCATGCTGTTAGTGTGAGAGATTAGCGTGATGTTAATGTGAGAAATTAGCATGCTGTTAGTGTGAGAGATTAGCGTGATGTTAATGTGAGAGATTAGCGTGATGTTAATGTGAGAAATTAGCATGCTGTTAGTGTGAGAGATTAGCGTGATGTTAATGTGAGAGATTAGCGTGATGTTAATGTGAGAAATTAGCATGCTGTTAGTGTGAGAGATTAGCGTGATGTTAATGTGAGAGATTAGCGTGATGTTAATGTGAGAAATTAGCATGCTGTTAGTGTGAGAGATTAGCGTGATGTTAATGTGAGAGATTAACATGTAACTGTAAGATAGGAGGAGAGCGGCCTCCTGGACGAAGGATTGCAACCCAACGGTTGCAATCCAAAGGACACGTGAGCATGAGAGTGTAATCCAAAGGACACGTGAGCATGAGAGTGTAATCCAAAGGACACGTGAGCATGAGAGTGTAATCCAAAGGGCCTGTGAGCATGAGAGTGCAATTCAAGTAACACGTGAGCATGAGAGTGCAATCCAAAGGACACGTGAGTATCAGAGTGCAATCCAAAGGACACGTGAGCATGAGAGTGCAATCCAAAGGTCACGTGAGCATGAGAGTGCAATCCAAAGGACACGTGAGCATGAGAGTGCAATCCAAAGGACGTGAGCATGAGAGTGCAATCCAAAGGACATGTGAGTATGAGAGTGCACTCCCCTCGTCCAGGAGGCCGCTCTCCTATCTTACAGTTACATGCTAATTTCTCACATTAACATCACGCTAATTTCTCACATTAACATCACTAGCCCCGGCCACTTCTTTATGACCCTTGGGCTACACCCATTGCAAACCTTTTAAATCAGTCTGCCTCAGCAGCAGGCCACGGCTTTCCCACGTAATGACGGACGCTTGGTGTTGCGCCCTTGACGTCGTGATTTATTTTATTTCTACCTACGTGACTTTGCCGAAAGAACCAAACAGTGTGGATTCCTGCAGTCACGAAAGCTTCAAATCAAGATCGTTATAGTAATAGGTTTTACCCTTTTAACTGGCACAAAAACTGACACCTTTATTCAAGGCATCATGTTTGCAATGACCACAACACAAGCAGTCAAAATGCAAAAAAAAAGACAACTCTGATAATAATATTGGCACTGTCCTTGAATTTGATTGGTCCACACCCGAGACGGCTTTTCTTAGAGTCTAGTCTCCACTGTTGTTGGACCAGAAGACAGAAGACGCCTTCTGGTCCAACACCAGTGGAGACTAGGCTCTAAGAAAAGCTGCCTCGGGTGTGGACCAATCAAATTCAAGGACAGTGCATGTTATTATCAGAGTTGTCTCTTTTGTTTGCATTTTGACTGCTTGTGTTGTAATTATTGCAAAACCTATTACTATATCTAGGTACTGGCAAAGGAGGTCTCAAAGGAGGTCTCATAATCAAGATCGTTGTTTAGGGTTGCAGTTTTTAAAACCCACACTTTACCCCGATCGACTAATCGAGTCTAACACGTAGGAGGCTTTCGCGAACAATATCATCCATAAATACAGCTTTTTGTCGAGTTAGATCGGGTAAATATTTAAATGCGCCGTTAAACCCGCCACCACCCGAAACAGCCAATCGGCAAAGGGTTGTGCCACGTGAACGGAACATTGCCGATTCGCCACGAGCACAGCACCTGCGGTGTGCTGGACAGCAAAGCCGCAACATTCACAACCTGAGAGCACGACGTTTCGCCAGTGATGAATCCATCTGCACTTCTGAGTGGACAGAGGCGGCTGGTTGTGGGCGCGCGTGGGGAGCGTTCGGGGCGGCATTGAAGAAACCTGCATCGTCGCTTCCAATGGCACAGTGGAATCGACGGAGGGATAAGCGGCGAGGTCCCTTCTCGGAAATGGAGGACGGACGTTTTTCTTTTGGTCAAGCGAAGGAGGTGGCGGCGAGTCGCCGTTGGGATTTCATGTGGCCAGAGTGGAGAGAGCGGCATTTGTTGTTGGTTTTTTGGTGTGAAAAGGGGCAATGAGATGTCACGTTTGTGTGAAATTTTTTTTGACATTCTAAAGCAGAAGGTTAAATGTTGTAGTGGGTTAACTCTCTAACACGCAACCAGTTAGTGCTTTACTAGTAACGAATTGTAAATATTGTAGTGGGTTTAACTCTCCAACACACAACCGGTTAGTGATGTTCTCGTAACGAATTCTCAATGTTGTAGTGGGTTTACTCTCCAACACACAACCAGTTAGTGCTGTACTAGTAACGAATTGTAAATGTTGTAGTGGGTTTACTCTCCAACACACAACCGGTTAGTGCTTTACTAGTAACGAATTGTAAATATTGTAGTGGGTTTAACTCTCCAACACACAACCGGTTAGTGCTGTACTAGTAACGAATTGTGAATGTTGTAGTGGGTTTAACTCTCCAACACACAACCGGTTAGTGCTTTACTAGTAACGAATTGTAAATATTGTAGTGGGTTTAACTCTCCAACACACAACCGGTTAGTGATGTTCTCGTAACGTTCTCAATGTTGTAGTGGGTTTACTCTCCAACACACAACCAGTTAGTGCTGTACTAGTAACGAATTGTACATATTGTAGTGGGTTTACTCGCCAACACGCAACCGGTTAGTGCTGTACTAGTAACGAATTGTAAATGTTGTAGTGGGTTTACTCTCCAACACACAACCGGTTAGTGCTTTACTAGTAACGAATTGTAAATATTGTAGTGGGTTTACTCTCCAACACGCAACCGGTTAGTGCTGTACTAGTAACGAATTCATCTTCTTTGATTCTTTCGGTAAAGTCACGTAGAATGATAATAAAATAATAAATTGATAAAATAAAATAACGCAATAATATTCTCACGACGTTTCGGCCACAACACAAGCGGCCTTCATCAGGTGAGGGGACGAGACTGTCTGGAGGACAGCGCTGGAGTGAAAAAGCCACACTCAGATCGCGACCTTTAAGTTGTGTGAGAAGAAACAAAGCGTCTTGACAAAGTAATTAGCATAGAATTTAGCATTGAAATGGCTGAGTGATTAGCTTGTGACTGGTCACAGAAATGGCTATGTTAAAGTTAAAGCATACGCATCCGCAGAGGCACCCCTTGACAAAAGAATCAGCATAGAATTTAGCGTTGAAATAGCTGAGTGATTAGCTTGTAACTGGTCACAGAAATAGCTATGTTAAAGTCAGAGCATACACATTACAGAGGCACCTAGTACAAATCAAACAGGAGAATTTAGCATTGAAATAACTAGGCGAATTTAGCATTGAAATAACTGAGTGATTAGTTTGTGACTGGTCACAGAAATGGCTATGTTGAAGTCAAGGCCTACACATCTGAGCTATTCACAGTAACTGGGTATACACTACAATATATAATGAATACTATATAGTGAACCAATAAAAAACTAAAATATAAACTACCTCAATGTTATCAATAAACTCTATATATTCTCCAATCAGCTAAGCTACCAACAATAAGTCGTTATATATCACAATGCTATATGGCGAAAAAATGGGTGGATTCTTACCCTCAAATTTCTGCACCACGGATAGCTACGGGCCCCGTTCAGACGGACGAGTTCGTCCATGGTCGGAACAGAGGAGGGGGAGAGAGACAGCTGTGAGGCCCTAGTATACTCCATGTTGTAAAACTATACCATTAACCGTGGTGTGAGAGGTATTAGGAGGCAATGCTGGTGAAAGAGCTGCGGTCTGAAGGTCATCGTAAAAATACAATTAATTAAGAACAGAAATGGTTTAAAACATCTTTCCAATGGTTACTAAGCCAGAATCCATCTTCTCGGTTGAAATTGTCTCTGTGCTTGTATATGTGAATGGCCTCATGAACGGATCTCTCATGGTAGCCGGTTGGTTGCAAAGAACCTCCGCTCACATGACGTTGACTTCTCCAAGACGAAGGTTCTTTGCAAACCAACCGGCTACCATGAGAGATCCGTTCATGAGGCCATTCACATATACAAGCACAGAGACAATTTCAACCGAGAAGATGGATTCTGGCTTAGTAACCATTGGAAAGATGTTTTAAACCATTTCCATTCTTAATTAATTGTGTTTTACGATGACCTTCAGACCGCAGCTCTTTCGCTGGCATTGACTCTTAATACCTCTCACACCACGGTTAATGGTATGGTTTACAACATGGAGTATAACAGCACTTCGCAGCTGTCTCTCTCCCCCTCCTCTGTTCCGACCATGGATGAACTCGTCCGTCTGAACGGGGCCCGTAGCTATCCGTGTTGCTAAAGTTGAGGGTAAGAATCCACCCATTTTTTTGCCATATAGCATTGTGATATATAACGACTTATTGTTGGTAGCTTAGCTGATTGGAGAATATATAGAGTTTATTGATAACATTGAGGTAGTTTATATTTTAGTTTTTTATTGGTTCACTATGTAGTATTCATTATATATTGTAGTGTATACCCAGTTACTGTGAATAGCCCAGATGTGTAGGCCTTGACTTCAACATAGCCATTTCTGTGACCAGTCACAAGCTAATCACTCAGTTATTTCAATGCTAAATTCGCCTAGTTATTTCAAGGCAAAATTCTCCTGTTTGATTTGTACTAGGTGCCTCTGTAATGTGTATGCTCTGACTTTAACATAGCCATTTCTGTGACCAGTCACAAGCTAATCACTCAGCCATTTCAATGCTAATTTCTATGCTAATTCCTTTGTCAAGGCGCTTTGTTTCTTCTCACACAGCTTAAAGGTCGCGATCTGAGCGTGGCTTTTTCACTCCAGCGCTGTCCTCCAGACAGTCTCGTCCCTTCACCTGATGAAGGCCGCTTGTGTTGTGGCCGAAACGTCGTGAGAATATTATTGTGTTATTTTATTTTATCAATTTATTATTTTATTCTCATTCTACGTGACTTTACCGAAAGAACCAAAGAAGATGAATCCTTGCAGTCACGAAAGCTTTAAATCGAAATTTAGTAACGAATTGTGAATGTTGTAGTGGGTTTACTCTCCAACACAGCAATCGGTTAGTGTTGAACTAGTAACGAATTGTGAATGTTGTAGTGGGTTTAACTCTCCAACACACAACTGGTTAGTGCTGTACTAGTAACGAATTGTGAATGTTGTAGTGGGTTTAACTCTCCAACACACAACCAGTTAGTGCTGTAACAGTAGCGAATTGTCCATGTTGTAGTGGGTTTACTCTCCAACACACAACCGGTTAGTGCTGTACCAGTAACGAATTGTGAATGTTGTAGTGGGTTTAACTCTCCAACACACAACCGGTTAGTGTGAATGTTGTAGTGGGTTTAACTCAACAGCACACAACCGGTTAGTGCTGAACCAGTAACGAATTGGCCACGTTTCGTTAACGTGACACACCCCTTACTGATTGGCTGTGTCGGGTTGGTGGTGGTGGCGGGCTTCACGACACAGCATTTATATTTCACGCGATCTAACCCCAACGCAAGCCTCCACTGTGGATACGAGCGGTCACATTTGGCAGATGCGATGTCGTCACTGTGACCTCTGCAACCTGTGCCGCATCGCGAATTGAACCTCAATGTGAACGTCTCATCGAGGGCCGACTGCTGCTGCGTGGTTGTTGTCTTGCTGTGGTCAGGGACTGTTGTTGTTGTTGGTTTCGCTGCCTTGGCCGAGCTTGATAAGTCGGACTCTTTATCTGTATAAAATTATAAATAATGAACATTTAGTGACGTGGTTACCATTTTCTCTATTTTGCGCACCTTTCGTGTGTATTGTGTCTGTGTATTGTTTGTTTGTATTGTTTGTGTGTGTATTGTTTGTGTGTGTACTGTTTGTGTGTGTGTAGTGTATAGTGGTGTATAGTCTAGTGTATAGTAGTGTAAAGTGGTGTATAGTAGTGTATAGTGGTGTATATTAGTGTATAGTAGTGTTTAGTGTAGTGTATAGTAGTGTATAGTGTAGTGTATAGTAGTGTTTATTGTAGTGTATAGTAGTGTACATTCATGTATAGTAGTGTTTATTGTAGTGTATAGTAGTGTATAATGTATAGTAATGTATAGTGTAGTGTATAGTAGTGGAGAGTGTATAGTAGTGTTTATTGTAGTGTATAGTAGTGTATAATGTATAGTAGTGTTTTTTGTAGTGTATAGTAGTGTATAATGTATAGTAATGTATAGTGTCGTGTATAGTAGTGTATAATGTATAGTAATGTATAGTGTAGTGTATAGTAGTGGAGAGTGTATAGTAGTGTTTATTGTAGTGTATAGTAGTGTATAGTCTCGTGTATAGTAGTGTATAGTGTATCGTAGTGTATAGTGTAGTGTATAGTAGTGGAGAGTGTATAGTAGTGTACAGTGTAGTGTATAGTGTAGTGTATAGTAGTGTATAATGTATACTAGTGTATAGTGTAATGTATAGTAGTGTATAGTGTAGTGTATAGTAGTGTATAGTGTAGAGTATAGTAGTGTATAGTGTAGTGTATAGTGAAGTGTATAGTAGTGTAGTGTATAGTAGTGTATAGTAGTGTATAGTGTATAGTAGTGTATAATGTATAGTAGTGTATAGTGTCGTGCAGTGTTCTTCACTAATTTTCAGAGGGGATGGCCACTTTCACCGATAAGACATCACCAGCAGTGTGAGGGCTACTTCGCTATTTAAAACCATTGAGGGGTTGACAGCAGAACGACAATGACGATGATGACGATGACGACGATGACGACGATGACGACGATGACGATGACGACGATGACGACGTGGGCGGTGTTCTCACTCTGCGTGTACTGTCGGTGGGCCACACGTCAGGGGCCGCACTCAAGAGGCCACCAGGGCCCACCAGTGGCCCACGGTGGCCTTGCGATGAAGGACGCCGCTCTAGATTGAGCTCTCAAAGGCTCCCTCTCGTTGAGGCCCTTTCCGGTGGCACTCTGGTCCACACAGAATGGCCCAGAGAAGCGGAGATCACAGAACTACCTCGGAGCGGCGTGAGCAAGCTGTTGCAGCGCTGCGCCTTTACCATGATGACTGCGCTACCGCTCCCTGATTACGCAAGTACAAAGATCCCCCGTTTAGGCCTTCAACGGACTGTTGGGGCAAGTGCTGTTAGCGAGCAGCACCTATGAAGGCCCGGAACGACACACGAGGGGTGGGTGGCCAGCGCCACGCCCGGCCGCCTTTGTCTTCCTAGTGGCACATTTACACAGAGCACGAGTACTCAATTAAGGCTGAGTCGACCTAGGGAGGCCCAGGACCGGTTCGGATAATCGTCACCGGTGTTGGTGGCCGTGAGCGGGATCCAACTCGGTACACTTTGGGTTTGTAGCGCAGTGTAGCGCTAACCGCTACACTGCCACGTGCAACAGCACAAGGCAAAGATCCCCCATACAGCCTGAGACAGACTGTTGGGGCAAGTGCTGTTAGCAAGCAATCGTGCGTACACACAGATGCACGCATCCCACGCAGCTTATACTCACTGGAGGCCCGGGGTCCTCCACGGGGGCCTTGGAGCCCCTCCGAGCCACGCAGGCAGCACCATGGCATCCCGTGGCGTCGGTGGCGTCGGTGGCGTCGGTGGCGTCGGTGGCGTCGTGGCCTGCCGAGTAGCCGTCGCCGCCCAGCACCGCCTCGACGTTGGGGGGGGGCGTCTCGATCTGCGTCGCGTTTGCCGAAATCCGCCGGGCTCCTCGTGACCGTGGCGCCGGCTCGCCCCCACCGCCCAGGGATCGCAACGCTGCCGCCGCCTGCCGCCGCCGGCCGCTGCTGCCGATCAACCCCCACCGATGGCATCTCCCGGTGGGGCCGTCTGCCCGCCCTTCTGAAGCGCCTTCCGTTTCGTGTCGCGTCTCCGGCGGACTCTCGGATGTCCTGCTTCTCCCGCCGGTGGCGCCCGGGCCAAGCGAGCTCGACACTTCAGGCCTTGGCCTTTGGGGGCGTCTTCGAGGCCGCCGGTTTTTTGTTTTCCTCGACTGTCACCACTGCCTCCGACGCCACCGCCGTAGTTCCCCGACTGGCAGATTTAAACGGCCGACCGCTTTCTCCGAAGGAGCGGTCGGCTTTGTGATCGTTGACGACGACGACGACTGCGGGCCCTTGCCAGCCTTCTTCGGCGTGCCATCGCCACCGTCGCCGCCGCCACCGTTCGAAGAAGCTACCGGCTCCTTTGCCGAGGCCGTAGGCTTTTGCGAGGCCTGGTTTTCGCTCGCCGTTGTCGGGACCCGCTTGGCCGCCGCAGCCGGGGGCGCGCGTCCCCACCGCCTCCCGCCTTCCGCCGCGTGATGAGGGGGCGCCGTTGCTTGGGGAGCGGCCATCCTCTCGGGCCTCCGTTCCGTGGCGTCTGCGGCAAAGCCTTTGCTGGGCCGCTGAAAGGAGGGCAGCGAGGCATCGACCTCGTCTCGCCGCTCGCTCGGCGTCGTCAATGAAAGCGACGCGATTCCGCCGCTGTCATCGCCGGCGTCGCCTCGGCACTCCTCGCGAGCGACGGAACAGTAGTTGGCGGCCACGGCGGCCGAGGGGAAGAGGTCGAGCTGGCAAACAAGGCCCTCGAAGGGCACCGCGCGGCGGGACAGCCTTCCGAGCCTGAACAGAGCCTCGGGCCCGACGGCTGGCCTGGCGGCCGCGCTGACGCTCTTCCGCAGGAACTGGCGGCCGCACCTGGTGTAGAGCGTCACGCTCCGCTCCGTCACGGCCAAGGCGACGCTGCGCGGCTTTGAGTCGTGCAGGTCGACGGCGAAGTGCAGCGGCTTCCCATTGGCCAGGTGGACCGCCACCTTCCGCGGCAGCAGCTGCAGGCCGAAGAGGAGCGCGGGGGGCCTCGGCGGCGAGGGCCTCCCCCGCCCCCCCCGCCGGCGCGACGACGCTGAGGAGGAACGCGTGGCTCGGCCGCAGGGAGCGGACGCTCAGGACGATGGAGAAATTGCCGGCGAAAAAATCTGGCGGAACGACGTCGGAGACCTTGGCCTCCACCTGGGATTTCTTGGTGAGGGTGACGCCGGGCGGTGCGGGCGCGGCACCGTGACGGGTCACCGGCCTGGCGGGTGGCGACATCGCCGTCGCCAGCTTGACGTTGGGCGTCAAGCCTAGCCTTTGGAGAACGTCCACATCTGCGAAGGAAAAAAAAATGCATTTAAGGGGGAAAAAATCCATTTAAGGATTTGTTTTATACGAACGTGCCGCACAATTGTTACTCTAAGGCGGTGGAGAGGGTGGAGAAACTCGCGGTGAGCGCGCATTGGCCATCCAAATAAGAATCTTCATTGAGACTGGTGGAGGGGGAGGAACCCGATGAGCCGTGAAGCTCTTTGTTCGCAGGTTTCCGGCACAGGCACGGGGTCAGCGAGTTGCATCGGCGAAAGCGGACACGTGCCCGTACCATTAAACGATTACATTGCACGATAGGACGGGTATACGAGTGTCCCATCCGATCCAGATCGTGCGTCTCATGATGTTAATGTGAGGGATTAGCATGATGTTAATGTGAGGGATTAGCGTGATGTTAATGTGAGGGATAAGCGTGATGTTAATGTGAGGGTGTTAGCGTGATGTTAATGTGAGGGTGTTAGTGTGATGTCAATGTGAGGGATTAGCATGATGTTATTGTGAGGGTGTTAGCGTGATGTTAATGTGAGGGTGTTAGCGTGGTGTTAACGTGAGAAATTAGCGTGATGTTAATGTGAGGGTGTTAGTGTGATGTTAATGTGAGGGATTAGCATGATGTTAATGTGAGGGTGTTAGCGTGGTGTTAATGTGAGGGTGTTAGCATGATGTTAATGTGAGGGTGTTAGCGTGATGTTAATGTGAGGGTGTTAGTGTGATGTTAACGTGAGAAATTAGCGTGATGTTAATGTGAGGGTGGTAGTGTGATGTTAATGTGAGGGATTAGCATGATGTTAATGTGAGGGTGTTAGCGTGGTGTTAATGTGAGGGATTTGCATGATGTTAATGTGAGGGTGTTAGCGTGGTGTTAATGTGAGGGATTTGCATGATGTTAATGTTAATGTGAGGGATTAGCGTGATGTTAATGTGAGGGATTTGCATTATGTAAATGTGAGGGATTAGCGTGATGTTAATGTGAGGGTGTTAGCGTGATGTTAATGTGAGGGTGTTAGCGTGATGTTAATGTGAGGGTGTTAGTGTTATGTCAATGTGAGGGATTAGCATGATGTTATTGTGAGGGTGTTAGCGTGATGTTAATGTGAGGGTGTTAGTGTGATGTTAATGTGAGGGATTAGCATGATGTTAATGTGAGGGTGTTAGCGTGGTGTTAATGTGAGGGTGTTAGCATGATGTTAATGTGAGGGTGTTAGCGTGATGTTAATGTGAGGGTGTTAGTGTGATGTTAACGTGAGAAATTAGCGTGATGTTAATGTGAGGGTGGTAGTGTGATGTTAATGTGAGGGATTAGCATGATGTTAATGTGAGGGTGTTAGCGTGGTGTTAATGTGAGGGTGTTAGCATGATGTTAATGTGAGGGTGTTAGCGTGATGTTAATGTGAGGGTGTTAGTGTGATGTTAACGTGAGAAATTAGCGTGATGTTAATGTGAGGGTGGTAGTGTGATGTTAATGTGAGGGATTAGCATGATGTTAATGTGAGGGTGTTAGCGTGGTGTTAATGTGAGGGATTTGCTTGATGTTAATGTGAGGGTGTTAGCGTGGTGTTAATGTGAGGGATTTGCATGATGTTAATGTTAATGTGAGGGATTAGCGTGATGTTAATGTGAGGGTGTTAGCGTGATGTTAATGTGAGGGTGTTAGCGTGATGTTAATGTGAGGGTGTTAGTGTGATGTCAATGTGAGGGATTAGCATGATGTTATTGTGAGGGTGTTAGCGTGATGTTAATGTGAGGGTGTTAGCGTGGTGTTAACGTGAGAAATTAGCATGATGTTAATGTGAGGGTGTTAGTGTGATGTTAATGTGAGGGATTAGCATGATGTTAATGTGAGGGTGTTAGCGTGGTGTTAATGTGAGGGTGTTAGCATGATGTTAATGTGAGGGTGTTAGCGTGATGTTAATGTGAGGGTGTTAGTGTGATGTTAACGTGAGAAATTAGCGTGATGTTAATGTGAGGGTGGTAGTGTGATGTTAATGTGAGGGATTTGCATGATGTTAATGTGAGGGTGTTAGCGTGGTGTTAATGTGAGGGATTTGCATGATGTTAATGTTAATGTGAGGGATTAGCGTGATGTTAATGTGAGGGATTTGCATTATGTAAATGTGAGGGATTAGCATGATGTTATTGTCAGGGATTAGCATGATGTGAATGTGAGGGATTAGTGTGATGTTAATGTACGGGATTAGCATGATGTTAATGTGAGGGATTAGCATGATGTTAATGTGAGGGTGTTAGCGTGGTGTTAATGTGAGGGTGTTAGCATGATGTTAATGTGAGGGATTAGCATGATGTTAATGTAAGGGTGTTAGTGTGATGTTAATGTAAGGGATTAGCATGATGTTAATGTGAGGGTGTTAGCGTGATGTTAATGTGAGGGATTATCATGATGTTAATGTGAGGGTGTTAGCGTGATGTTAATGTGAGGGATTTGCATGATGTTAATGTACGGGATTAGCATGATGTTAATGTGAGGGATTAGCATGATGTTAATGTGAGGGTGTTAGCGTGATGTTAATGTGAGGGTGTTAGCGTGATGTTAATGTGAGGGATTAGCATGATGTTAATGTGAGGGTGTTAGCGTGATGTTAATGTGAGGGTGTTAGCATGATGTTAATGTGAGGGATTAGCATGATGTTAATGTGAGGGTGTTAGAGTGATGTTAATGTGAGGGATTAGCATGATGTTAATGTGAGGGTGTTAGCGTGATGTTAATGTGAGGGATTATCATGATGTTAATGTGAGGGTGTTAGCGTGATGTTAATGTGAGGGATTTGCATGATGTTAATGTGAGGGATTAGCATGATGTTAATGTGAGGGATTAGCATGATGTTAATGTGAGGGATTAGTGTGATGTTAATGTACGAGATTAGCATGATGCTAATGTGAGGGATTAGCATGATGTTAATGTGAGGGTGTTAGCGTGGTGTTAATGTGAGGGTGTTAGCATGATGTTAATGTGAGGGTGTTAGCGTGATGTTAATGTGAGGGATTAGCATGATGTTAATGTGAGGGTGTTAGCGTGATGTTAATGTGAGGGTGTTAGCATGATGTTAACGTGAGGGATTAGATGATGTTAATGTGAGGGATTAGCATGATGTTAATGTGAGGGTGTTAGCGTGATGTTAATGTGAGGGATTATCATGATGTTAATGTGAGGGATTAGCATGATGTTAATGTGAGGGTGTTAGCGTGATGTTAATTTGAGGGATTAGCATGATGTTAATGTGAGGGTGTTAGCGTGATGTTAATGTGAGGGATTTGCATGATGTTCATGTGAGGGATTATCGTGATGTTAATGTGAGGGATGAGCATGATGTTAATGTGAGGGATTAGCATGATGTTAATGTGAGGTATTAGCATGATGTTAATGTGAGGGATTAGCGTGATGTTAACGTGAGGGTGTTAGCGTGATGTTAACGTGAGGGATTAGTGTGATGTTAATGTGAGGGTGTTAGCATGATGTTAATGTGAGGGATGAGTGTGATGTTAATGTGAGGGTGTTAGTGTGATGTTAATGTGAGGGATTAGCGTGATGTTAATGTGAGGGATTAGAATGATGTTAATGTGAGGGTGTTAGCATGATGTTAATGTGAGGGATTAGCGTGATATTAACGTGAGGGTGTTAGCGTGATGTTATCGTGAGGGATTAGCATGATGTTAATGTGAGGGTGGTAGCATGATGTTAATGTGAGGGATTAGCGTGATGTTAACGTGAGGGTGTTAGCGTGATGTTAACGTGATGGTGTTAGCGTGAGGTTAATATGAAGGTGTTAGCATGATGTAAATGTGCGGGATTAGCGTGATGTTAATGTGAGGGTGTTAGCATGATGTTAATGTGAGGGTGTTAGCGTGATGTTAATGGGAGGGTGTTAGCGTGATGTTAATGTGATTGTGTTAGCATGATGTTAATGTGAAGGATTAGTGTGATGTTAATGTGCGGGTGTTAGCCTGATGTTAATATGAGGGATTAGCATGATGTTAATGTGAGGGTCTTAGCATGATGTTAATGTGAGGGTGTTAGCATGATGTTAATGTGAGGGATTAGCGTGATGTTAATGTGAGGGTGTTAGCGTGATGTTAACGTGAGGGATTAGTGTGATGTTAATGTGCGGGTGTTAGCGTGATGTTAATGTGAGGGATTAGCATGATGTTAATGTGAGGGTGTTAGCATGATGTTAATGTGAGGGTGTTAGCATGATGTTAATATGAGGGATTAGCGTGATGTTAATGCGAGGGTGTTAGTGTGATGTTAACGTGAGGGTGTTAGCGTGATGTTAACGTGAGGGTGTTAGCATGATGTTAATGTGAGGGATTAGTGTGATGTTAATGTGAGGGTGTTAGCGTGATGTTAATGTGAGGGGGTTAGCGTGATGTTAACGTGCGGGATTAGCGTGATGTTAATGTGAGGGTGTTAGCGTGATGTTAATGTGAGGGTGTTAGCGTGATGTTAACGTGAGGATGTTAGCGTTTATGTTAACGTGAGGGTGTTAGCGTGATGTTAATGTGAGGGTGTTATCATGATGTTAATGTGAGGGATTAGCATGATGTTAATGTGAGGGTGTTAGCGTGATGTTAACGTGCGGGATTAGCATGATGTTAATGTGAGGGTGTTAGCGTGATGTTAACGTGAGGGTGTTAGCATGATGTTAATGTGAGGGTGTTAGCGTGAAGTTAATGTGAGGGTGTTAGCGTGATGTTAACGTGCGGGATTAGCGTGATGTTAATGTGAGGGTGTTAACGCGATGTTAACGTGAGGGTGTTAGCATGAGGTTAATGTGAAGGTGTTAGCGTGAGGTTAATGTGAGGGTGTTAGCGTGATGTTAATGTGAGGGTGTTAACGTGATGTTAATGTGAGGCTGTTAACGTGAGCGTGTTAGCGTGATGTTAATGTGAGGGTGTTTGTGTGATGTTAACGTGAGGGTATTAGCGTGATGTTAACGTGATGTTAACGTGAGGGTATTAGCTTGATGTTAACGTGAGGGTGTTAGCGTGATGTTTACGTCAGAGATTAGCATGATGTTAACGTGAGGGTGTTGGCGTGATGTTAACGTGAGGGTGTTAACGTGAGGGTGTTAACGTGATGTTAACGTGATGTTAACGTGATGGTGTTAACGTGAGGGTGTTAACGTGAGGGTGTTAACGTGATGTTAACGTGAGGGTGTAAGGGTGATGTTAACGCGATGTTAACGTGATGTTAACGTGAGGGTGTTGACGTGAGGGTGTTAACGTGAGGGTGTTAACGCGAGGGTGTTAACGTGATGTTAACGTGAGGGTGTTAACGTGAGGGTGTTAACGTGATGTTAACGTGAGGGTGTTAACGTGAGGGTTTAATGTGAGGGTGTTAACGTGATGGTGTTAACGTGATGTTAACGTGATGTTAACGTGATGGTGTTAACGTGAGGGTGTTAATGTGATGTTAACGTGATGTTAACGTGAGGGTGTTAACGTGATGTTAATGCGAGGGTGTTAACGTGAGGGTGTTAACGTGATGTTAACGTGAGGGTGTTAACGTGATGTTAACGTGATGTTAACGTGATGATGTTAACGTGATGATGTTAACGTGATGTTAACGTGAGGGTGTTAACGTGAGGGTGTTAACGTGAGGGTGTTATCGTGAGGGTGGTAACGTGAGGGTGTTAACGTGATGATGTTAACGTGAGGGTGTTATCGTGATGGTGTTAACGTGATGTTAACGTGATGTTAACGTGAGGGTGTTAACGTGAGGATGTTATCGTGAGAACGTTGCATTCCCTGTCCTCGCTTAATGATCCAAACGCAACGTCGTTGCCGCTGTCAGACGAGAAGACGACACGTGACTGTGGCCAGGCAGTGACGTGGCCAGGTCACGTGTCCAGGTCACGTGGCCTCTGCCTGCCACCCCAGCCCCAGCACCCCCCCCCCCCGGGAAAAGCGAACGCCGATCAAGGGGGGGGGAGGAGGAGCTGGTGAACAATCCTGGGAGGGGTTGTGGGGGGGGGGGGGTGGTGAACAATCCTGGGAGGGGGGGTGGTGGACAATCCTGGGGGGGGGGGGTGGTGAACAATCCTGGGGGGGAGGGGTGGTGGACAATCCTGGGGGGGGGGGGGTGAACAATCCTGGGGGGGGAGGGGTGGTGGACAATCCTGGGGGGTTATGGGGGGTGGTGAACAATCCTGGGAGGGGGGGTGGTGGACAATCCTGGGAGGGGGTGGTGAACAATCCTGGGGGGGGGGGGGGGTGGTGAACAATCCTGGGGGGCGGGAGGGGGTGATGGACAAGCGGGTGATGACGATGCCCGCGTGTAAACGCTCTCCCCCCCCCCCCCTCCCCAATAATTAACTCCATACGGCCATATGTGCAGCAGATACCGTAAAGCGAAATGATTGCTAATATTGTATTTAAAACCACGCTCGCTCGCTCACGCGGGGCGAGGGGGGAGCTGACGTGAAGAATTAAAAGAGCGAACCCGGGCTATCGCATACAGTGGTGCAATGTGTTTGCCACATGTGTTGTAACAATACAGGGGGCACACGAGAAGAGAGATTCCACTCCACCTCGAGCGGAGCCTCCACGGACCCCGTGGGCCAGCGCTGCCGATCCGCGTCGCCCCTGCCGTCTTTGTATCCCCCGGGGAGCGGCGGCGCAGCGCTAACCGCTGCGCCGCCGCGCCACGAACCCGGCGACACGGGTTCGATTCCCGCTCACGGCCAACACCGGGGGGACGATTATCTGAAACGGTCCCGGGCCACCCCTAGGTCGACTCAGCCTCAAATGAGAACCTGGTGCGGTGTGTAGTAAACATCGCCACTGGGGAGACAAAGGCGGTCGGGCGTGGTGCTGGCCACCCACCCCCTCGTGTACTGTTACCGGCCTTCATAGGTGCTCGCTAACAGCACTTGCCCCTACAGTCTGTTAAGGCTATATGGGGGGTCTTTGTCTTTGTGTGTGTGTGTGGCCGAGCGGGGAGCGGTGGTGCAGCGGTTAGCGCTACGCTGCGCTACGAACCTGGCGACCCGAGTTCGATTCGAACTCACGACCACTACCCTGTGACGATTATTTGAACCGGTCCTGGGCCTCCCCTAGGTCGACTCAGCCTCGAATGAGTACCTGGTGCTCTGTGTAAACATCGCCACTGGGGAGACAAAGGCGGCCGGGCGTGGTGCTGGCTACCCACCCCCTCGTGTGCCACAGTGCCGGCAGCCTTCATAGGTGCTGCTCGCTAACAGCACTTGCCCCTACAGTCTGTTACAGGCTACACGGGGGATCTTTGTCTTTGTGTGTTGACCAAAGTGAGGCCCACGAGGAACCGGTTCGAATGGCCGTGTCGCCGGGGCCGCCTTTGTCTCCCTCAGTCGGAAACGTTCATGACACACCGCACCAGCTACTCATTTGAGGCTGAGTCGACCTAGGGGGGGGGGAGTACCCCAGGGACCGGTTCCAGATACACGTCGCCGGTCGTGGTGGCCGTGAGCGGGAGTCGAACTCGGGTCGCCGGTTTCGTAGTTGCGAAGCGCAGCGCACACACACACACAGAGACGCAGTGACACGCCGATTGTTGAGATCCCGACCTAAACACCGCCATCTGGCGGAGAACGGAAGGCTCCTCTTGTTGAAGGTCACGTCCAGCCGTTATCACCGGGTCATGGTGGATCCACTGCTGGACGAAGACCTCCCCCCAGGTCGAGCCACTTAAGCCCACGGCCAAAACCGGTGACAATTTGTCTGAACCGGTCCTGCGCCTCGCCTAGGTCGACTCAGCCTTAAATGAGTAGCTGGCCTTAACAGGTGCTCGCTAACAACACTGCCCATAGAGTAAATACTTCCCATAGACTCAACACTTCCCATAGACTCAACACTGCACCATAGACTCGACACCGCACATAAACTCAACACTGCCCATAGACTCAACACTGCCCATAGACTCAACACTGCCCATAGACTCAACACTGCCCATAGACTCAACACTGCACCATAGACTCAACACTGCCCATAAACGCAACACTACCCATAGACTCAACACTACCCATAGACTCAACACTGCCCATAGACTAACACTGCCCATAGACTCCGTTGAGCACGGTTGGCTGCGTACGGTGCAACAGAAGTTCACCGCACACGATGTGTACAACCGTTAACAATTACCGTTCCGCGCCATCCGCTTTACGGGCAGCTGAGAGATGTGCCATGACGGCGCTCGAAGTGAGCAGGGTCACGGTCACCAAATCAGCCCATTAAAAAATATAACTTGATTGCAGATGACTCAATTTGGCATTTCACAGAGTAGCAGCAACACCATCGCTCCCCCCTGCTGACAGACTAACACACAGGGACAGCTGCCACTGGGGGTGCCCCTAGGCTAGACCACACAGCAGCAGCAGCAACATCGCCTCCCCTACTGACAGACTAACACACGGGGACAGCTGCCACTGGGGGTGCCCCCTAGGCTAGACCACACAGCAGCAACACCATCGCTCCCCCCTACTCACAGACTAACACACAGGGACAGCTGCCACTGGGGGTGCCCCTAGGCTAGACCGCACAGCAGCAGCAGCAACATCGCCTCCCCTACTGACAGACTAACACACACAGGGACAGCTGCCACTGGGGGTGCCCCTAGGCTAGACCTCATAGCAGCAACAGTAGCAACATCGCCTCCCCTACTGACAGACTAACACACACAGGGACAGCTGCCACTGGGAGTGCCCCTAGGCTAGACCACACAGCAGCAACACCATCGCTCCCCCCTACTCACAGGCTAACACACGGGGACAGCTGCCACTGGGGGTGCCCCTAGGCTAGACCACACAGCAGCAGCAGCAACATCGCCTCCCCTACTCACAGACTAACACACAGGGACAGCTGCCACTGGGGGTGCCCCTAGGCTCGTCCGCATTGGGGACGAGGCGCGCGACCTGCGAGCTTGGCCCCACCGCACGTGCACGGAACCTCGGCCCCGTGACCGGCGGTGAACCCAGACGCGCTCACCTCCCAAGGACCGCTGCACGAGGTTCCCGGCGAGGGCGATGAACACGACGAGGCCGGCGGGCGCCAGGTGGCTGCGGAGACACGGCAGGGGCAAAAGCGACCGCGCGTTAGCCCGTGGTCAATCCACTGCTGGATGAATGCCTCCCCCAGACATCATCGCCGTCATCATCATCACCAGCCGTGGTCAATCCACTGCTGGATGAATGCCTCCCCCAGACATCATCACCATCAGCATCACCAGCCGTGGTCAATCCACTGCTGGATGAATGCCTCCCCCAGACATCACCGCCGTCATCATCATCATCACCAGCCGTGGTCAATCCACTGCTGGATGAATGCCTCCCCCAGACATCATCGCCGTCATCATCATCACCAGCCGTGGTCAATCCACTGCTGGATGAATGCCTCCCCCAGACATCATCGCCGTCATCATCATCACCAGCCGTGGTCAATCCACTGCTGGATGAATGCCTCCCCAAGACATCACCACCGTCATCATCATCATCACCAGCCGTGGTAAATCCACCGCTGGATGAAGACCTCCCCATGACATCATCGCCATCATCATCACCAGCCGTGGTCAATCCGCCGCTGGATAAATGCCTCCCCATGACATCATCATCGCCATCATCACAAGCCGTGGTCAATCCACTGCTGGATGAAGACCTCCCCAAGACATCATCGCCGTCATCATCACCAGCCGTGGTCAATCCACTGCTGGATGAATGCCTCCCCAAGACATCATCACCATCATCATCACCAGCCGTGGTCAATCCACCGCTGGATGAATGCCAAGACTTTTGTTCACAGTTTGAACGGCGTGATGAGTCTGTGCGTGTGTGTTCTCTCATTCCGTGTGTTCCTCTTCCTGTTGCTCAAAATAAATGTGCTGCCCAAAAGACAAAGATCCCCCGTGTGGCCTGTAACAGACTGTTGGGGCAAGTGCTGTTAGCGAGCAGCACCTATGAAGGTCGGCACGGCCTTCATAGGTGCTACTGGCCAGCATCATGCCCCGGACGCCTTTGTCTCCAACAGTGGCGATGTTCTTACACACCGCATCAGGTAACTCATTTGAGGCTCAGTCGACCCCGGAGAGGCCCATGACCGGTTCAGATAATCGTCACCGGTGTCGGGAATCGAGTTCAGGCCGCCGGGTTTTCACCGCAGCGTAGCGCTGACAGCTACGCTGCCGCCCCCCTACAAGCGCGCACACCAGGGCAGACCCAATTTTAGTGACACTGGCACAATAATGACAGCTTACAAAGTACAAAGAACGCCCTCCCACCCCCTCCCACTGCCACCCGTCCACCCGGGCCAAGCGAACGACGTAATCAAACGAGGCCGCAAGCCATCGGCAAAAGTGGCGGCTTGCCCTGCCCACGTGATCGCCGCCAGCGGCCACGTGATCGCCGCCAGCGGCCACGTGATCGCCGCCAGCGGCCACGTGATCGCCGCCAGCGGCCACGTGAGCGGTCACGTGATCACCCCCGAGCGGCCACGCGGGCGGTCACGTGATCGCCGCGAGCGGTCACGTGATCGCCGCGAGTCGTGGCTACGCGGTGCTCACGTGACGCACCACCCAGCGGCGGCAGATTTGTTGCATTGCTCGCCAAAGGAACATTTCGTCGATTGAGAGGAGCCCAGTCGAGGTGGTTCGGGCACCCGGTAAGGATGCCCCCACCCCCGGTAGACCCCCCGTGGGACTCTACCGGGCGGCAGCTCCCACTGGGCAAAGAAGCCCCAGGGCCGGCCCCAGGGCTTGCTGCTGGTGGGACGATGTCGCTCGGCGGGCCTGGGAACGACCGGGAATTCCTTCAGGAATAGCTAGGAGTCTGTGTATAGTGTAGTGTATAGTGTAGTGTATAGTGTAGTAGTGTATCGTAGTGTATAGTGTAGTGTATAGTGTAGTGTATAGTGTAGTAGTGTATGGTGTAGTGTATAGTGTAGTGTCTAGTAGTGTATAGTGTAGTGTATAGTAGTGTAGTGTATAGTGTATAGTAGTGTATAGTGTAGTAGTGTATAGTAGTGTATAGTGTAGTGTATAGTGTAGTGTATAGTGTAGTAGTGTATGGTGTAGTGTATAGTGTAGTAGTGTATGGTGTAGTGTATAGTGTAGTGTCTAGTAGTGTATAGTGTAGTGTATAGTAGTGTAGTGTATAGTGTATAGTAGTGTATAGTGTAGTAGTGTATAGTAGTGTATAGTGTAGTGTATAGTGTAGTGTATAGTGTAGTAGTGTATGGTGTAGTGTATAGTGTAGTGTCTAGTAGTGTATAGTGTAGTGTATAGTAGTGTAGTGTATAGTGTATAGTAGTGTATAGTGTAGTAGTGTATAGTAGTGTATAGTGTAGTGTATAGTGTAGTGTATAGTGTAGTGTCTAGTAGTGTATAGTGTGTATAGTAGTGTAGTGTATAGTGTAGTGTATAGTGTAGTAGTGTATAGTAGTGTATAGTGTAGTGTATAGTGTAGTAGTGTATAGTAGTGTATGGTGTAGTGTATAGTGTAGTGTCTAGTAGTGTATAGTGTAGTGTATAGTAGTGTAGTGTATAGTGTATAGTAGTGTATAGTGTAGTAGTGTATAGTAGTGTATAGTGTAGTGTATAGTGTAGTGTCTAGTAGTGTATAGTGTGTATAGTAGTGTAGTGTATAGTGTAGTGTATAGTGTAGTAGTGTATCGTAGTGTATAGTGTAGTGTATAGTGTAGTAGTGTATAGTAGTGTATGGTGTAGTGTATAGTGTAGTGTATAGTGTAGTGTATAGTGTAGTGTATAGTGTAGTAGTGTATCGTAGTGTATAGTGTAGTGTATAGTGTAGTGTCTAGTAGTGTATAGTGTAGTGTATAGTGTAGTGTCTAGTGTAGTAGTGTATAGTAGTGTATAGTGTAGTGTCTAGTAGTGTATAGTGTAGTGTCTAGTAGTGTATAGTGTAGTGTATAGTAGTGTATAGTGTAGTGTATAGTGTAGTAGTGTATAGTAGTGTATAGTGTAGTGTATAGTAGTGTATAGTGTGTATAGTAGTGTAGTGTAGTGTATAGTGTAGTAGTGTATAGTAGTGTATAGTGTAGTGTCTAGTAGTGTATAGTGTAGTGTATAGTAGTGTAGTGTATAGTGTAGTGTATAGTGTAGTAGTGTATAGTAGTGTATAGTGTAGTGTATAGTGTAGTGTCTAGTAGTGTATAGTGTGTATAGTAGTGTATAGTAGTGTAGTGTATAGTGTAGTAGTGTATAGTAGTGTATAGTGTAGTGTATAGTGTAGTAGTGTATAGTAGTGTATAGTAGTGTATAGTGTAGTGTATAGTGTAGTGTCTAGTAGTGTATAGTGTGTATAGTAGTGTAGTGTATAGTGTAGTGTATAGTGTAGTAGTGTATAGTAGTGTATAGTGTAGTGTATAGTGTAGTGTATAGTGTAGTAGTGTATAGTAGTGTATAGTGTAGTGTATAGTGTAGTGTATAGTGTAGATGTGTATAGTAGTGTAGTGTATAGTAGTGTAGTGCTTCCATAAAGCCCAATATGTTCGCTTATCGACCATTTCCCTCTTAATGACGGGCTGTCGTAGTTACAGTAAATATTAACCCCTCCTCCGTTCCGACCATGGATGAACTCGTCCGTCTGAACGGGGCCCGTAGCTATCCGTGGTGCTAAAGTTGAGGCTTAAATGTCGTGATCTGAGCGTGGCTTTGTTCGCTCCAGCGCTGTCCTCCAGACAGTCTCGTCCCTTCACCTGATGAAGGCCGCTTGTGTTGTGGCCGAAACGTCGTGAGAATTTTATTGTGTTATTTTTTTCATCACGATTATCATCACGATTATCATCACGATTATCGTCACGTTTATTATAACGATTATTGTCACGATTATCGTCACGATTATCGTGACGATTATCGTCACGATTATCATCACGAGTATCATCACGACTATCATCACGATTATCATCACGATTATCGTCACGATTATCGTCACGATTATCATCACGATTATTATCACGATTATCGTCACGATTATCGTCACGATTATCGTCACGATTATCACGATTATCATCACGATTATCGACACGATTATCATCACGATTCTGCAGCGAGGACCCCTTCCCTCGTCACTCATTCCGCCACATTCGTCGAAGACGGCTGATGCCGTTTTTTTTTCCTCCTGAATTTTTTTTTTATTTCGCAAAGCTCCCAATTGGCAAGGAGATCGCGTACAGTAAAATTGCATCTTACGCATTCTTTGGCAGCGTACGGAGTCTTGCGTTCAGCCAAAGTCTGGCCGTAGCCCGCCAGAATAATTTATTTTTTTAATGTATAAACAGATGATGGGGTCCATGCAGGGAAAGAAAGGGCGACTGTGAGAGGGAGGGAAACCAAAATTAAAACCGTGAACGTCTCACTTCGAAAGCCCTCCCCTTCGTCGCCCGCCGCTCCGCGGGACGGCGTCATTCGACGGCGCACGCACAGATGGATTCAACAATCCGCGCGTTGCAACGCAGAACCCGGGAGTGACCGACACGTGGCCCCCAACCCCGGCGAGGTTCTGCCCGTAGCCTTTGGATCTCCCGTTTATCACGGTGGCTATGAGATGTTAACTACTTCGCCCTGTGTACAGGAGATCGTGGGTTCGATCCCGACCATCTCTCTCTCTGTGTCTCCCCGTGGTCGCGTGGATTTTTTCTCCGGGTCGTCCGGCTTTCCCCTCCACATTTAGAATCAACATCACGCGTTTAGATCATTTGGACGGTATCGATTTCCGGACGATGATGATGATGACGATAACGGCCACTTCGTTGAGCATTCATCTGTGATGGGCGGGTCGCTTCTGAATAAGAGCTACGTAGCTCAGTGAGGCCTTACCTGGTTAAGTAAAAATAATTAGTTTGAAATAGTTTAGTTTCTAAATATCATTGCATTGCTGCTCCTCAGCAGCCAGGTGGTGGTGCTGGTGGTGGTGCTGGTGGTGGTGGTGCTGGTGGTGGTGCTGGTGGTGCTGGTGGTGGTGCTGGTGGTGGTGGTGCTGGTGGTGGTGGTGGTGCTGGTGGTACTGGTGGTGGTGCTGGTGGTGGTGCTGGTAGTGGTGGTTCTGGTGGTGGTGCTGGTGGTGGTGGTACTGGTGGTGGTGCTGGTGGTAGTGCTGGTGGTGCTGGTGGTGCTGGTGGTGCTGGTGCTGGTGGTGCTGGTGGTGGTGCTGCTGGTGGTGGTGCTGGTGGTGCTGGTGGTGGTGGTGCTGGTGGTGGTGCTGGTGGTGGTGGTGCTGGTGGTGCTGGTGGTGTAGATTCGAGTAAACCCGCACCGTTGTTTCGACTGTCATTCATCATCGCATCGTTCCGCAATGTCTATCACGTTGCGGCAAATTGATTCATTCATCCATTCGCCCACACAACGCAAACTCATTCATTCGTGAACCCAACTCATTCATTCGCGCAGCGCATAGATTTATGTAACCCATTTAATGAATGTGCACAACTCTTTCATCATCGTTCGTGAACGACTCAATCATTCATTCATTTACGTAAGTTAAACCGATTGGTTTTAAACCTCAAGAAAAAATAAAACCCCGACATTTTTTTGGGCACAGACACGAGACGAAGATACTGCAAATGCTGCTGATGATGATGGCTGATGATGATGATGACTGCTGATGATGATGACTGTTGATGATGATGATGACTGCTGATGATGATGACTATTGATGATGATGATGACTGCTGATGATGATGACTGCTGCTGATGATGATGACTGCTGCTGATGATGATGATGACTGCTGATGATGATGACTGCTGACGATGATGACTGTTGATGATGATGACTGCTGATGATGGTGATGACTGCTGACGATGATTGCTGCTGATGACTGCTGCTGATGACAGCTGCTGCTGATGACTGCTGCTGCTGATGATTGCTGCTGCTGATGATTGCTGCTGATGGTGTTGACTGCTGATGATGATTGCTGCTGCTGATGATAACTGTTGATGATGATGACTGCTGATGATGGTGATGATGACTGCTGACGATGATGACTGTTGATGATGATGATGATGACTGCTGATGATGGTGATGACTGCTGCTGATGATTGCTGCTGCTGATGATGACTGCTGCTGATGACAGCTGCTGCGGATGACTGCTGCTGCTGATGCTTGCTGCTGCTGATGATTGCTGCTGATGGTGTTGACTGCTGATGATGATTGCTGCTGATGATTGCTGCTGATGGTGATGATAACAACTCGAGCAATGACAAGTCGACTGAATGTGTCACTGCCACCGCGTCATCGAAGAACACGAGCTACAATGCTGAACGACACGGATCACGGACGATGCCGTTTCATCAACAGCATCATCGCCATCATCAACATCCTCAGCATCAGTCACGGAAACATCTTCATCAACAGCATCATCGCCATCATCAACATCGTCAGCATCAGTCACAGAAACATCTTCATCAACATCATCATCGCCATCATCAACATCCTCAGCATCAGTCACAGCAACATCTTCATCAACATCATCATCACCAACAACAACATCATTATCAACAACAACATCCTCAACATCAACAACATCAACATCCTCATCATCAATATCACCATCAACATTAACATAATCTCCAACATCCTCATCATCAATATCAACATCAACATCATCTCCAACATCCTCATCATCAATATCACCATCAACATCATCATCTCCAACATCTTCATCATCAATATCACCATCAACATCAACATCATCTCCAACATCCTCATCATCAATATCACCATCAACATCATCTCCAACATCCTCATCATCAATATCACCATCAAGATCAACATCATCTCCAACATCCGCATCATCAATATCACCATCAACATTAACATCATCTCAAACTTCCTCATCATCGATATCACAATCAACATGAACATCTCCAACATCCTCATCATCAATATCGCCATCAACATGAACATCATCTCCAACATCCTCATCATCGATATCACCATCAAAATGAACATCATCTCCAACATCCTCATCATCAATATCACCATCAACATGAACATCATCTCCAACATCTTCATCATCAATATCAACATCAACATCATCTCCAACATCCTCAACATCAATATCACCATCATCATGAACATCATCTCCAACATCCTCATCATCAACATCATCTCCAACATCCTCATCATCAACATCATCTCCAACATCCTCATCATCAACATCATCTCCAACATCCTCATCATCAACATGAACATCATCTCCAACATCCTCATCATCAACATCATCTCCAACATCCTCATCATCAACATTCATCTCCAACATCCTCATCATCAATATCACCTTCAACATGAACATCATCTCCAACATCCTCATCATCAACATCATCTCCAACATCCTCACCATCAACATCATCTCCAACATCCTCATCATCATCAATATCACCATCATCATCAACATCATCTCCAACATCCTCATCATCAACATCATCTCCAACATCCTCATCATCAATATCACCATCAACATGAACATCTCCAACATCCTCACCATCAACATCATCTCCAACATCCTCACCATCAACATCATCTCCAACATCCTCATCACCGTCCAGGTCGTCTCCCATCGCGGCCTCACCTGCGGCGCGGAGGAGCGGCGCGGTGCCGACGAGGAAGCCGCGGCGCCGTGAGCCCACGTGGAGGTGGAGGAGGTGGAGGAGGTGGAGGAGGTGGAGGAGGAGGAGGAGGAGGTGGCGAGTCGAGACGACGACGAGGTGTGGCAGACCGTTTTAGCGGCGCCATCGTGGCGGCTCCTGAATCTCCCGGGATGAAGGGCGACCGCCTCCGATGCCCATTAGGCGGCGGCCTTGAGGGCCCGAGGAGGAGCGGCGCGTTAGCGGGGGTGGACGCGCGGGGTCATTGCACGGGGCGCGGCCCGGGGGGCTCGGGATCGCCTCGTGGAGCGAGAAGATCGACGGCTCAAATGGAACGAAGTAAAAAAAAAAAATATTGGAAAAAAGTTAAAATGAAAAATTGTTCCAGATCTGAGCCAAGATGAATACTACTGCTACTAATAATAATAACCTTGATTTCCCTTTCCAGGATGATGTCGATTCAAGACGAAATCAATGTGTGTGTGTGTGGGAGCGCAGATCGCTGTCGGGCTTAGAGCTAGCGAGCTTAGCGGATTGTTCAGTTCAGCGGTGGACTTTGTGGTGGTGGTGGTGACTGCGGTGATTGAGAAAATCGGAATTTGAGGTTGGTTTGAGATGGGGGGGGGTGGTGGAGGAAAAATAAAAAGGCCGACGTGAAAACAGAAGTGCTGGCGAATTTGTTAAAGAGACGGAGCGGTTTAAGGCGGGCAAATGCGATTGTGGTGAATAATTTCCGATTCTCGTAAAAAAAAAACCAAAAAATACTTTAAAAAAAAATCAGTTGCGAGAGAGTTATTTGTCGCTCGAATGATAACAGTTCGTTCCGATTTTATTCTAAAATATTTATCCCAAGTGCGTGTCGCGCGCGGGGTGTCGAACGTTCCAGGCGCGAGCGGCGATGATGAGTTCGAAACTTTGCGATCACAAAACGTTGAGACGCTAGCGCAACATCACACTTTACGTTCGGCTTCCCGCACGGGCGCTTCTCAAAACAAAACAACAAACGGACGACCCAAATAGCTCACAACAACAACAAACAACCCCGTTCGCTTCCAACCGGTGCGTCTGTAAAATTAAAGTCGAATTCTTAAAATGACCGAGTAGACGTCGATTTTGACCGCCACATTCAAAGGGCGATTCGTCGGTGATTGTTAGAACTTTCGGCCGTTGTCACCCGCAGGGATTACAACGACCGAGAGTTGAGAGAGACGCCGCGATCTAGGATCATCGAGGCGTTACCTGCGCACAGAAGTTGATCGGGAATTTCATCGGTTTTTTTTTGGGGTGGGTGGGAGTGGGGGGTGTATTGTGCGGTCACTTAGGCCACCGCCACCGCCACCACCACCGCCACCGCCACCACCACCACCGCCACCACCACGCTAACCGCTCCAAAACGCTGTGGTCAAAAATTAATTAATTATATCTCCTCCACCCGCCACCCACCCTATCCCCACCACCCACAAAAAAAATATATAAAATGACCAGAAAATAAATTACGCTTATTGTAACAAAGACAAAAAAAACCCTGCAGCAAGCTGAAATTACCAATAAATTATCGAGAGCGCAACAAATTAGCTGGGGTTTCAAACAAAAAGAAACCCCAACTTACTTAAAAAAAAACTTTAAAAAATCAGATTAACATTGTAGCGAGTCCACTGATAACGTTTACAAAGACACACAAGAAGATGCCGTTATCGCTGGGGCTTTCTTTACTTTAAATCGTGCTAGAAAATTGAACCTTCACTTGGAACCGATGGACGGCTATGAGATTTTGTAACGCACGGCTTCAGCATCGCCCTACAGACGCGATTTGAGGTCTAGCTTTTTGACAGTCGCCTTTCGTTTTCTGCTGCTGCTGCTGATGATGATGATGCTGCTGATGCTGTTGTTGCTGAGCTGATGATGATGTTGCTGCTGTTGATGCTGATTCTGCTGCTGCTGTTGCTGCTACTGATTCTGCTGCTGCTGCTGCTGCTGCTGAGCTGATGCTGCTGCTGCTGAGCTGATGATGATGTTGCTGAGCTAATGATGATGCTGCTGCTGAGCTGATGCTGCTGCTGAGCTGATGATGCTGTTGCTGAGCTGCTGCTGAGCTGATGCTGATGTTGCTGAGCTGATGATGATGATGCTGCTGCTGAGCTGATGATGCTGCTGCTGCTGAGCTGATGATGATGTTGCTGCTGCTGAGCTGATGCTGATGTTGCTGCTGCTGAGCTGATGCTGAAGCTGCTGAGCTGATGCTGCTGCTGCTGAGCTGATGCTGATGTTGCTGCTGCTGAGCTGATGCTGATGATGCTGCTGCTGAGCTGATGCTGATGTTGCTGCTGCTGAGCTGATGCTGCTGTTGCTGCTGCTGAGCTGATGCTGATGTTGCTGCTGCTGAGCTGATGCTGATGTTGCTGCTGCTGAGCTGATGCTGCTGCTGCCGCTGATGCTGTCTTCTGGCTGAATGTTTAACAGTGAAGACCTGTGGTTGAATTTCCTTACTGCAGCCCTAGGGGTAAAGTCTCTCTGTGTGTGTAAAGTTTAAGTATGGGTGTCTGTGCGTGCGTGCAAGATGTGTGTATGTATGTATGTGTGATCTATGTGTGAGTTTTGTCTGTAAGTTTAAATGTGCGTGCGTGTGTGTGATATGTATGTAAGTTAGACTGTTAGAACCTTGTAATCGTGTGCGTGTGAGTGGTCTGTGCGTGTGTGCGTTTGAATGCGTGGGTGTGTGTGAGATCTCTCCGCGAATGTGTTTGTGAGCTGTGTGTGTGTGTTGTGCGTATGTGTGTGGTCTGTGTGTGTGTGAGTCTGCGTGCTCGAACGCGTGTGTGTGATGTGAGGACGTGAGTGAATGGGATGTGTGTGTGAGATCTGTGTGTGTGTGAGCATGGGGAGCGGTGGTGCAGCGGTTAGCGCTACGCTGCGCTACGAACCCGACGACCCGGGTTCGATTCCCGCTCGCGACCAACACCGGTGACGATTATCTGAACCTGTACTGGGCCTCCCCTAGGTCGACTCAGCCTCAAATGAGAACCTGGTGCGGTGTGTAGTAAACATCGTCACTGGGGAGACAAAGGCGGTCGGGCGTGGTGCTGGCCACCCACCCCCACGTGTGCCTCAGTGCCGGCCTTCCGTAGCTGCTGCTCGCTAACAGCACTTGCCCCTACAGCCTGTTAAGGCTACACGGGGGATCTTTGTTGTGTGTGTGTGAGATGTATGCGTGTGTATTTGTATGAATGTATATAGGTGTGTGCGTGTGTGAATATTCCACCAAACTACCAGAATTACCGACAACTTTCTCTCTCTCTGAATATATGTAATGTAGAACTTCTTTCGCACCGTACGTAGCCAACCGTGCGAATCGGCTGGATTCTTTGTGCCGTGCTCACCTCTCTCTCTGTGAGTCTCTCTCTGTGAGTCTCTCTTTGTGAGTCTCTCTCTGTGAGTCTCTCTGTGAGTCTCTCTCTGTGAGTCTCTCTGTGAGTCTCTCTCTGTGAGACACTCTGTGAGACACTCTCTCTGTGAGTCTCTCTCTGTGAGTCTCTCTCTCTGTAAGTCTCTCTCTGTGAGTCTCTCTCTGTGAGTCTCTCTCTGTGAGTCTCTCTCTGTGAGTCTCTCTCTGTGAGTCTCTCTCTTTGAGTCTCTCTGTGAGTCTCTCTCTGTCTCTCTCTGTGAGTCTCTCTCTCTCTGTGAGTCTCTCTGTGAGTCTCTCTGTAAGTCTCTCTATCCCTCAGCCTCTCGACTGCTTTCTCTCTGTGAGTCTCTCTCTGTGAGACACTCTGTGAGTCTCTCTCTGTGAGTCTCTCTGTGAGTCTCTCTCTGTGAGTCTCTCTGTAAGTCTCTCTCTGTGAGTCTCTCTGTGAGTCTCTTTCTCACTCTCTCTATCCCTCAGTTCTCGACTGCTTTCTCTCTGTGAGTATCTCTGTGAGTCTCTCTGTGTGAGTCTCTCTCTGTGAGTCACTCTCCTCTGTGAGTCTCTCTCTGTGAGTCTCTCTCTTTGAGTCTCTCTCTCTGTCTCTCTCTCTCTGTCTCTCTCTGTGAGTCTCTCTCTCTGTGAGTCTCTCTGTGAGTCTCTCTGTAAGTCTCTCTATCCCTCAGCCTCTCGACTGCTTTCTCTCTGTGAGTCTCTCTCTGTGAGACACTCTGTGAGTCTCTCTCTGTGAGTCTCTCTGTGAGTCTCTCTCTGTGAGCCTCTCTGTGAGTCTCTCTCTCTGTGAGTCTCTCTGTGAGTCTCTCTCTGTGAGTCTCTCTCTCTCTGTGAGTCTCTCTGTGAGTCTCTCTCTGTGAGTCTCTCTGTGAGTCTCTCTGTAAGTCTCTCTCTGTGAGTCTCTCTCTGTGAGTCTCTCTCTCTGTGAGTCTCTCTGTGAGTCTCCCTCTGTGAGTCTCTCTGTGAGTATCTCTGTGAGTCTCTCTCTGTGAGTTTCTCTCTGTGAGTCTCTCTGTGAGTCTCTCTCTGTGAGTCTCTCTGTGAGTCTCTCTCTGTGAGTCTCTCTGTGAGTCTCTCTGTGAGTCTCTCTCTGTGAGTCACCCTGTGAGTCTCTCTGTGAGTCTCTCCCTGTGAGTTTCTCTCTGTGAGTCTCTCTGAGTCTCTCTCTGTGAGTCTCTCTGTGTGTGTCTCTCTGTGAGACTCTCTCTCTGAGCCTCTCTGTGAGTCTCTCTGTGAGACACTCTCTGTGAGTCACTCTCTCTGCGAGACACTCTCTGTGAGTCTCTCTCTGAGTCTCTCTGTGAGTCTCTCTGTGAGACACTCTCTGTGAGTCTCTCTGTAAGTCTCTCTCTGAGTCTCTCTGTGAGTCTCTCTCTGTGAGTCTCTCTCTGTGAGACACACTCTGTGAGTCTCTCTCTCTCTGTGAGACACTCTCTGTGAGTCTCTCTCTGAGTCTCTCTGTGAGTCTCTCTGTGAAACACTCTCTGTGAGTCTCTCTGTGAGTCTCTCTGTGAGTCTCTCTGTGAGACTCTCTGTTAGTCTCTCTGTGAGTCACTCTCCGAGTCTCTCTCTCTGTGTGTCTCTCCAAGTCACCACCCCTCACTGTCTCTCTTCCGTAGTCAATTCTCTGAACTTATGATTATCATGAAAAAAATCTCGACTCTCCTGGCTCCAACACAAAAGCTAGAGATCCCCCGTATAGCCTCCGACTGTTTGGGGCAAGTGCAGGTTAGCGAGCACCTATTACTGAGGCTGGCACGGTGCAAGGGTAACGGAAGTATGGCCAGCACCACCACGCCCGGCCGCCTTTGTCTCTCCAACTGCTCCACTCTCCCCAACTTTCTATGCAATGGGTAATGATGTCTACTCATCCCCCCCTCTCTCTCTCTCTGACTCTCTACAAGCCTAACACAGAACTCCAACACACACACATACATACATTAACTCTCCTAGTGACTCTCCAACTCACTTCCCTACACTTTCCTGAACTCTCTGGAACTCTCCCTACACCTACCAACGCTCTCCCCCTCATCTCTCGCGTTCTGCACCAGAGAGTGTGACAGTCAGTGGTTCATAACACAGGAACCACTGACTCTCACTCTCTCACACTCTCTCTCGCACTCTCTCTCACTCTCTCACACTCTCACACACTTTCACACTCTCTCACACTCTCACTCTCTCTCACACTCTCACACTCTCTCTCACACTCTCACACACTTTCACACTCTCTCACACTCTCTCTCACACTCTCTCTCACACTCTCTCTCACACTCTCACACTCTCTCACTCTCACACTCTCTCTCACTCTCACACTCTCTCACTCTCTCACACTCTCACACTCTCTCTCACACTCTCACACACTTTCACACTCTCTCACACTCTCACACTCTCTCTCACACTCTCTCTCTCACACTCTCACACTCTCTCACTCTCACACTCTCTCTCACTCTCACACTCTCTCACTCTCTCACACTCTTTCACACTCTCTCTCACACTCTCACTCTCACACACTCTCACACTCTCTCACTCTCCCACTCTCACACTCTCACACTCTCTCACTCTCACACTCTCCCACTCTCACTCTCTCTCACACTCTCTCACTCTCACACTCTCACACTCTCACACTCTCTCACTCTCCCACTCTCACACTCTCACACTCTCACTCACTCACACTCTCTAACTCTCACACTCTCACACTCTCTCACTCTCCCACTCTCACACTCTCTCACACTCTCACACTCTCACACTCTCACACTCTCACACTCTCTCACTCTCCCACTCTCACACTCTCACACTCTCTCACTCTCCCACTCTCACACTCTCACACTCTCACACTCTCACTCACTCACACTCTCTCTCCCACTCTCACACCCTCTCACACTCTCCCA